GTCGCACTCCCAATTTCAGAATTCTAAGTCGAGTAAAACACTATTGCGCTCTAGATTAGGCATTTGGTCCACTGTGAAGCGCTGGTGTCTTTTAATCTAAATTTGAGTTTGAGATATACATACATATGGGCAATTTCATGTCAAGTGACCCAACTCAAAAAATCGATTTTGATGAAAATTGTTCAAAGGAATTTAGATAGCTATTTCTTCATTGTTTCCAATTTTTTTTTAAATTTTTTTCAAAAATCTCCCATTTTTTAATAATTTTTTTTTGCTCAAAAGAAAGCTTAAGACAATTTTCTTTAAGGGCTTTATAGTCCTAGAATGGGGTGCGAGTGGGATATCTATCAAAAAAAATAATTTTTTAACTTAAGAATAAGATTTTTTTCATTATTTGGCACTTAATTTTCCCCTATTTTTTCAAAATGGACGTTTTTTTTACTTAATAGAAAGCTTAGACCATTCCCTTTAAGAGCTTTGTGGTTACTTAGTGGGATGTGAGTGGGACATCTATAAAACATTTATATCAAAGGACAAACAACGAAGTTATTGACAATTTCCCAAGCCATATATTCAAAAAATCATGCATTTTCCGCATTATTTGGTCTTTGTTTTGCATGCAGAAGTGATGTAAAAAAATATCTACACAAAATAAAAGGGGTAATATAAGAATTACCCAGCAAATCCTTGAAAATTGGTAAACTAGAAGACACTAGATGACAATGCAAATGTTTTGAATTTTAAATAATTTTAATTCCATTAATGCCGAGTTCCTTCATTTTCCAGTTAAAAATTTTAATAAAAACTCTCAGTATATTTATATCCTTATTCCATACACAGAAAAAAATAGTACATAACTGGAATGAATTTTTTAATAAATTGTATGAATCGAACATGACTTTTTTTCTCAAACCATTTTCCTTCAGAATATTAAAAGTTCATAAAATGTATGAATTTGTACATGAAAGATTTGTTTTTTGTTTTCTTACTAATTTTCTTTGATTTTCATAAACAAAATTGCAATTAATAGCTTCCTATTAATATCTTCCATATTTTTAGAAAATATATTGGTGAATTTTTATGATAAATAAATAAAATATTGGAATACTAATTATGAAATAAAAAACATCAGCAAATACAGCTAGACATCCATTCTTCAGAAAATTTAGCAAATTACGCACATATTTCATTGTTTTCAATCTAAAAATCATAAAGAAATAAACAATTTTCCTAAGAAAATTTTAAACAATTTATTCTTAAATATTATTAACTTTAGTCAATGAAAGCCGTTCATAATATTTATGCTGAAACTTTTTTCTGTGTAACTTAAACGTTCGTTCTGTTAAGGTTCCTAACATGAATTTTTTATTCTGTAAACATTTTGTGTTAAATGTTATGTTTTTGTAGCATAAAAGTGCTCTGATATTAACGAAATGTAATGTCATTTTCAATGATAGGTTTTTTTGTACTAATTGTCGTTTCATAATTTCTTTATATTGCAAGAAAAAGTAGTTTTGCGTTTTATGTCGTAATTCAAATATACAACAGACATCATTTATTCATACATATTCCTAATGTATACACTGAAAATATATCCATGCCTAATATATACTAAATATGGTAAAATTTACGATATATTAATTAATGCAAACATTTTTGTTAATTTTAAAATAATTATCATCCACACGAATTTTTTCCTTTTTTTATGAAAATAGTTCATGACTTATATTATACTTTTTCTTAGATTTTATAAAAAATGTTCTAGTTTCATTTAATGAAAATATAAGTATTTTTAATTTCGCTTAAATTTACGAAAAAAAATGTTTTTAAATGTTTTCGTACTTTCGTAAAAATAGAAAAGGGTTTTAAATATAATTTCGTATTATACACGAAATTTTTGTAAATATTACGAAAAAGATGCTATGAATTTTTTTTCGTAAAGCACGGATTATTTTCAGTGTAGGTACATACATCAATATAAAAGATTAGCATTACTGACTGATTCATCATCACACAGGCCAAACGTCTAAACCGATAATAGTGAAATTTTTACCGTATTTGTATTTATTTTTGGTTATGTATTTCCACTATATATAGGAGGGATATTTGCAAATTAGAATATTTAGCGGTAAAAAAGAAGAAAAAACGGGTAAAACTGTTTTTCATGTACAAACAATAGAAATATGATTTTGGTACCTCTTTTGGCTAAAACGGCTGGACATATTTTCTTGAAATTTTAATAGTGTCTTCCTGTAGGTCTAGAATGAATACTTTTTATTTCGTAATTACACGTCCTTATACAAAATAAGTAGTAAAAGTCTCAGAAACTGCAACTACAGATGCCCTCAAATTTGTTATTGTTTGTTTTTGAAACATTTAAAAACAGAATTTTGAGAACTATAATCCTCAAATATTGCACTTTAAGTAAAATGGCAATAAACTGTAATTTTTTATTATTTTTTTTTTGAAGAGCTCAAAAAATAAATAAAATAATTAAAATTATTTTGACAAACGTTGTTTGTTACCACATGAAATAGAATTAAAAATATATTACCACATCAAACTTTTTTTTTAATTTCGAACAAATAACCTTTTAAATAGTTCTAAATTTACAAAAAATTGGCAATTTTGTATTGATTATCAAATTCACATACAACTGTTATTATTATAGAATACTAAATTTTCATGTTAAAGTTTTTGTTTCTGTACATTTACAGAAATGAATGAAAAATTATAGAATAATATTAAAGTATTTTTTGAAAATTCGAACATTTTTCGAAACAAAACAGTTGAAATTAAGAATTTTCATTTTAGATGTTTATTTGAATTTTTGTAAATTTCCTTTTTTTTATAATAGTATATCGATATTAAAATGAACATCAGGGTAATATTTAGAAGAGGGAATTTATAAGGGCTTAAGTATGGACCGTGCTTTAAAAACAAATCGTTTTTGTCCAATTTTTATAACCATAAACTGTTTTTTTTTTTGTAAAAGGGCTTCTATGGAGGGTAGAGTCAATTATGGACCTATTCTCAACGGTTTAGACAATAATTATTTGTTCAAATACTAGGTACTCGTATCTTTAATTCAGTTATGAGGTTTAAAGTAATTTTCTGAAGGGAACCGATAATGGGGGGTACGGTCAGTTATTGACCGATCCTCAGCAAATTGAGTTGAAAAATTTTGAGGCAAAAATATTGAGCGTTAAAGTCATTTTCTGAAGTGGACCTTATTAGACCGAACTTCATAAACTTTTGTCCATAAATTATGTTCCGTAAATAAGTTGTTTATTTCGAATTTCATCGCCTAAGTCGTATTTTTAAGTAACTAGTAAGAGTTAAAGCAATTTTCTGAAGTGGTCCTTAAATGGAGGGTAGGATTAGTTATCGATCCATCTTCATCAAAATCGGTAGAAAGATTTCAGTTCCCATAAAACCTGTTCATGTCGAATTTCATCGCTGTACTCGCTATTTTGTGGCAGTAACAAGCTTTAAAATCATTTTCTGAAGGGGACCTTATATGGAGGCTAGGATCCTCATAAGATTTGATAGAGAGGTTTTGGCTCGCACAAAATTTGTTAATGTCGAATGTCACCGCTGAACTCGCATTTTTGAGTCAGTAATGAGCGTTAAAGTCATCTTCTGAAGGGGACCATATATGGACCATATAGAGAGATTTTGGCTTATATGAAACTTAATTATGTCAGATTTCATCGCTATAATCATATTCTTAAAATATAATGCCAGTTAAAGCTGTTTTCGGGGGTCCACTTGTATGGGGGCTATCCGAAAACGTGGACCGATAATCGGTTACAAATTTCTACTTTCTACATTTGTCGAATTTTATCTTAAGACCGTTATATTTAATTGATTTTTTGATAACAAACAGATCGTTTTTGGACAGTTATGACTAGGATGATCGATTATTCAACATTTTCCAAAAAACGATTTTCGAATTGTTGACATTTGAAAAAAAAAAAAAACAGGTTGATATTTTTCAAATTCATAAAAAACCTGTTAACCGGCTTTTATTATAAAAAACAAAATCTATTTTATTTTGAAAAAATTTATATTTTTGTTTAAATTTGATGGCACGAACGGATATTTAACAGTTTAAAAGTTTATAAATTTAGATCTAGTCGTCTGATTTACATTATTTCTTTAATGTAAAAAAAATTGGAAAAAAGTGGGACACTTCTGTTAAATATAAGGAACTATGTAATCCTAGCTTTTTCTAAAATCCCTGTTTGGACAATTTTCGTTGTCATTCCAACACATCAATAATATTTTAGCCGCAAATTAATTATTGTAATTGGAATATAATGTTAAGATTTACAAAATTTTATCAAATACTTATTTCAATAAATTTTACAAGTAAAATTTGTTAATGAATTAAGAAAATTAAAAAAGTTTAACCAAAGGAGCGTTAGAAAAATATACTCTAGTTCCTGAACTCAATATTTTTAAAATTTAGACGGTCTGTATTGTTATTTACTTCAAATTTTTTAAAGTAATCTTTGAATACATAACAAATAAAAGTATTCGAAACCGGTTTTTAAAAAGTAAAACAACCGGTTTATTCGATATTCGAAAAATTAACATTTAGAAAATACCGACACTGGCAAATCAGAAAAAAAAAACGGTTTTAAAACCAAGTCGATCACCCTAGTTATGATCCGATCCTCTTGAAATTTAGTAAATTTTGAATCTTCAAATAAAACTTTGGTTTTTAAGTATATTTGATAAGAAAAAAAATAGTTTAAGTTCAAAAGTGTAATATATAGACCATATTATTAAATTAGGTTTAATTTTTCAAATCCTATGATTGAATGAAGTTAATTATTAATTCGAGAAATCGTTGTAAATAAATTTTAATAATTTTATATGCTAGTTAAATATTTAATATTTCATTGAAACTGACTAGACTTCACAGATTTTATACAATCAATTCATATACTATTATATCATAAAAATATATTTATCTTTTTATTTATTTACAGTACAATAATCTACACACAAACTACCTAGTTGTAATAATTCAATTAAAAAAAACCCTATTTAAATATAAATAATTTTGGAAAAATATTTTTTTGGATTACAAGAAACGGTCTCTCCATATTGTGGTTTACAATTTGCAATGTTTGCTTTGCAGTCCAACCCGACCTTAGGTGCTGTAGTAGCACCATGGTCAGGATCAATGATTGATCGCTTGCCATCCTTAGAAGACATGCCGCACAAAGGTAACTTTTTTTATTTTAAAACAAACAAAAAATTGGTGGAAAAAGTAATAATTATTTTTTAATAGATTTTTAATAATATACATAATAATTAAGTAAAAAATATACTATTTAACAATTAAATTTAAATAAAAAATATATCAATATACTTATCTTACATAGTATTTTTACTCGTATATAAACCTCTTTAAACGAACTTTGTAAGTTTCCTTTAATGAATTTAGTCTTGCATTTCACTACATATAGTAAATATTATTAGTGATTTTACCAACCATTTTAATTTCCATTTTATTTGTTAATCTGTTCAATAGTTTCAAACAAATTAAGAACGTTTTGGCAATTATAAAAATGCAGAAATTAGTTGAAAAACATTTTTTTAATTTTTTGGTCATATCAACACTTCTGCTTAAGTGAAATGAATTGGAAGAAATTGGTTCCATACCCGCGACTGTTATAAAAGTGTATTTTATGAGCCTCTCTTCTGAACATTTCAGATTACTATTTGCGAGGATATCTTTAGTCGAATATTCGCATTTCGTCCGCAATAATTTAATAAAACAGATTAGATTTAGTTTTATTGTCTTCTTTTTAGCAAGTTTTTTACTTTTTAAAGTTTGAAGATTTATTGACTCATTTAAATTTATTTTTAAAATTTAATTGATTTCATTTAAAGTAAAGCATTACAATTAAAAAAATAATTAATTTTTGATCTTCTAACTACGTGAAATATTATTTTAAAAAAATTCTAAAGAATTTTATTTAGATCATCTCAATGATTTATTTATAATCATTTTGTCACTATTATTATACCCTTCACCTTCGTGAGAAGGATATATATAAGTTTGTCATTCCGTTTGTAATTTCTATAATATAATTTTCCGACCATAAAGTATATATATTCTGGATCCTTATAGGTAGCGGAGTTGATAACGCTATGTCCGTCTGTCCGTGTGTTTGTTGAAATCAGTTTTTAGAGGACCCCAGATATCGGCGAGATCCGAATCTTCAATAATTCTGTTAGACATGCTTTCGAGAAGATAGACAACCTCTGAAAATTTCATAAAAAACTGTTTTTTTCATGCTTTGATATACTATAAGCAACAACAACACTGCTTATTCATTGAGTATTTCGTTTCATATGTTTGGATGGCTGTGTGTTTCATTGCCTTGTGTATATTTTTTTTGTTTCTTGGTGTATTCAGTTTCGTATGTTTGGATGTCTATTGGTTTCATTGCGTTGTGTATTTTGTTTTTTTGGAGTATTTCGTTTCGTATGTTTGGATGCCTGTGTGTTTCATTGCCTTGAGTATATTGTTTTTGTTTCTTGGTGCATTCAGTTTCGTATGTTTGGATGTCTGTTGGTTTCATTGCATTGTGTATTTCGTTCCGTATGTTTGTATGCTGCTGTTGGTTTTACTTCCTTGTGTATTTTGTTTTTGTGTGGTAATTTCGTTTAGCGTTGTTGTTGTTCATTTTGTTTTGCTATTGCTATAATAATAATATAGTCACTATGGTGAAGGGTATATAAGATTCGGCACAGCCGAATATAGCAGTCTTTTTTGTTTTAAATAAATTCGAAAAAATTTTTGTTTGCATAACTAACTAACCAACAAAAACAGTACTATGTATTAGGAAATTTTTTGACATTTCAACTGCGTGAAACGTAATTACAGAATAAATTTTTAACAAATTTTAAATAATTATGTTTTCTGTACATTTATATTACTTGTGGCAGTATCAAAAAATATTTCAGAGGGTACTTTTTTGGATCTCAAAGTACTAAAATATGTTTTTTTTTGCTAAATGTTGGTAATTTCTTAAATACATTCACATTTAGACATTTTTAAACAATCCATAACGGAAGTAGAAATCGCATTATATGTTGATATGATGAATCCTTGTCCGTCCCTCAATGTGAACCTTTTACAGGAAATGGGATCATACCATCTCATAGCTACCATACAAATATTACCCAGATATTGTACTTTGAAAATATATTAATTTAAAGCTGTCATGATATAATTTTTTATATTTTAATAAATCCGGCCTTAATTAAAAACAGACCACATTTGGCCCTATACAAGGATGAATGACTATTAATATGTGTTATTGAATTAAAATCCGTCGTGAGGCCTTACATAGGATATTTACTCGTACATCCTATTCTGAATATGACATGAAACAAAAATTTGCTTAAAAGTCCAAATATTTTTAACGTAAAACTTCCTATATTATATTTGGTTGAATACTTTGTTTCAAAACATAGTTAGTTAGTTAGTTAGTTAGTTAGTTAGTTAGTTGGTAATTTCTTAAATACATTCACATTTAGACATTTTTAAACAATCCATAACGGAAGTAGAAATCGCATTATATGTTGATATGATGAATCCTTGTCCGTCCCTCAATGTGAACCTTTTACAGGAAATGGGATCATACCATCTCATAGCTACCATACAAATATTACCCAGATATTGTACTTTGAAAATATATTAATTTAAAGCTGTCATGATATAATTTTTTATATTTTAATAAATCCGGCCTTAATTAAAAACAGACCACATTTGGCCCTATACAAGGATGAATTTGACTATTAATATGTGTTATTGAATTAAAATCCGTCGTGAGGCCTTACATAGGATATTTACTCGTACATCCTATTCTGAATATGACATGAAACAAAAATTTGCTTAAAAGTCCAAATATTTTTAACGTAAAACTTCCTATATTATATTTGGTTGAATACTTTGTTTCAAAACATATCGTTTTATATTAGATAGAAATTGAATCCTTCGAGTTTCTATCATTTGGAAATTATTTGGTCAAATATTATTTCAAAATTGAAATTTCTGGTCATTTTCTCATAAAATACTAACAATAAAATTTTAATTAGATATTCATATAATGTCAATGAAGATAAAAATAAGTACAACTTTTGATTCCATTTTGCAATGAGCTGCATTGGTTATATTGAAGAGAATTCCATTACTCTATAATTTTATTAGCCGTTTTTACTATATATACATATATTTTTTTAGAAAAAAACGGTTTTTAGTTGATGCGTTTTTTAGAATTTTATATAAAAATGTGCTAAAACATTCTTGGAATTTGTAATTTGAATATAAATTTTAAATATACTTTAACTTCTTATTTTTTTTATCGAAACGATATACAGTAGAACCTTGATTATCCGTGATTCGATTATCCGGCAACATCAATTATCCGGGATGGAAAAATACATTTTTTTTGCATCGACTTAATTTTATTTTCGATTTTCTTAAATTTTTCTGCATCGTTTAACCGTGATTACCTCTATTATCCGTGATTATAAGCAAAATTTTATACAAAATGAAAGGGGGATTTCCCTTGTCCGCTGTTTACTGTTTTCTGACAAAATGATTATTATTTATATTTTTGAAACATGTATGAATATAAAATCCTTGAATTATTTAGATTTTATATATGTAAATATGTACATATTCATTTATTAATTAATAAAAATTTATATTGAAAAACTAGCCAAAATTGGCACTCAAATAACCGTGAAAATCGATTATACAGAATGCTTCCGGTCCCGACCATCACGGAAAATTGAGGTCCCACAGTATTAAAGGTTTTCATATGTTAAACGGTAATCGGATATTGTGATTGTGGCCCTGAGAGTATCAAATACGACTCGGAGTATCACGGTACTTTTGAACATCAAATAGTATCAAAAAAGTACCATCGTACTAATTTGGCATCCCTTAATGTAGTCGAAAAGTTTAGTCAATTTAACAAATATCAAAATAGTCTAGATTCTTGACGATTTAGCTTTGTCCGCCCTTCTGTCCATTCGAAGAACGATAGAGCTGGTGCATGGTTAAGAGGAGTCTACCAAGCCCCCATAAATGTTTTTCTGAAATACTGTTTGAACACTAATAAGTCGTGACTTGATATTGCATGAATCAGTTTCATGTAACCATAGGAAAAAAATCGAGTCATTGATGACTAGGGTTGCCAGATTCCGATTCGCAAAAAGCTGGACATCGGGTTTTAAAAAGCTGGACAAAACAAAAAAAGCTGGACATAAAAAAAATACCGAGAAAATGTTAATTTTGGTTTTGTGTAAATAATTTCACAGTGATACACCAAAAAAAAAAAGGAAGGGGTTCTCATATACCGATTCCGTTTTGTTATAGTCCATATAGTACGAATATATTTTTAGTTTTCCCCGATCACTTCGTTAACTTAGTTTTTAAGAGCAAAAGATGTGAAAAAGCTCCATTTTTGAAGTTTTAAATTTTAAAAATCATAAGTACGTAAGCTGTACGTAAAGAAATTGATCGCTCGCAATAATATGTCTTTTCGCGTACTTTCCTGTAAGAAATATCCAGTAACTTTATGATAGAGAGCCCACTTTTTTAAAAAATGTGCAAGTTTTTGCTGAAATCTGAAAAAAACAAATAATTGAAACTTTGATTTTTCTTATACATAAATGGATATTTAAAGTTAACAAAATATGTAGTATCATTAAAAATATATTATTGTTTTAAAACTTTATGATACAAACATATTATTAAAATAAAAATTTACACAAAATCGCTAAGAGAAAGACAAACTAAATTGTTTTAAAAACGCTAGATTAACAATATTTGTTATGATTTTTCACAACAAAAAAATCAAAAAATTCTCTATCAACGAACTGTAATTTTTATCGCTCGAACGCGAACGGAATCCAGTAACAATTGTTGCAAATTGTTACAAATTATCGAGTACGCGAACGACCTAATATTTATTACGACATCAGCTGTTCAAGCGTTGAGACATGATGATAGAAGAGGGAAATCATAACTTAGTTGTATAACAAATGTACAATCAGTGTTGGCTAACATGATTTGACAAAGATAACATAAAAATTATTGCAGTGTGCTAAAAAAATTCTATTTAGCTGGACAAATTAAATTTTAGCTTGAAACTGGACAAGCATCAAAAAAGTTGGACAATCCAGCCAGGCTGGCAACCCTATTGATGACCCTGCCCCATATCGCTCATATACTACAAGACTGGCATAATCCAAAATTAGTTTTTTTTTTTTGAGCTGAGGGCTACAAAACATGTGTCATAGAGTCTTTCATATACATTTAACAAATTTGAAATATGTATATTATTATTGCTGCGGGATCGATTTTCTTTTAAACGTAAAAGCTAAAATTCATATTTTTTAAATATTAAAAAAATAAAAAATAAATTTCAATTTATATGAGAAACATATTAAGCTCTACTATCTGAATATGGTTGAATTTTTCAAATCTATTGATTTGCTTAAAAGTTATTTAAAAAATTGCCTATCGTCATTAAACATTAAAAGCCATTTTTATCGAAGCGAATTTTTTGGATTATGCTAGTCTTGTAGTAAATGACCGATCTAATGTCCGCTTTATAAGTATTAACATCGCGATGATATTAGGCATATATACGTTCTCTATGATCTTTCATCATGCTACATCAAGTTGAGGGGATTGGTTTCAGAAAACCTATTTACTGTTCAGTAATGGTTTTTAGTTATATTTCGACTTAAATTTTTTATTTTTAAGGAAAAAAACTACAGCTTTCTGTAGAGAGCGGTCCATAAATGATTCAAGACCTGTTGGTAGTCTTTTTCCGAAAATAAAAAAAAAACTTGTATTTTTTTATAAATAAAATTAATAAATGAAACAAATCTTTGTTCTATATTCCAAAAGAACCGGTCTGCAATATACTAAATTCCATATATGACCAATTTCCATATATGACCAATTTCCGACTTTAAAGAACTTAATACAAAAAAAGTAAGCTATGTTTAAAATTAAAAATTAAAATCCAATGATTTCGTAAATGTTTTTAAAATCAAATATTTTTTAAGTGTAAAAGTAAAATTATTGATCAAATTTATCAAAATTCGTTCACATTTATGATAGTTACAAGGTCCAATTTTTTATATTTTAGCCAAAATCGGAAATTAATAGTTTATTGCAAATTGTTTTTAAAAAACATATATCAATTTTTAAATAGATTGAAAAATTTAATTACAAAATAGATACATTGATTATTAGTGAATCTGAAATCCTTAGATTACACAGCTCCATTTTTTTATAAACGAAATTTAAAAAATGTGTGAACCAAAATTATGGATTTGTCTGTCGATTGTAGCTAATTTTCACAATAATTTTTTTTTTTTTAAATTTTACTGAAAATCTGGTAGAAAAATGTTGGCCACAAGAAACCATTTTTGTGTGTAATATTTGCATAAGTTTTCATTTTTATTTGTTGTTTTTATTTTCTTAAAAATGATATTGTTTCTTCCATTAAGACTGCAAAAATAAGATTTGTGACATTTTTTCCGTTTCTATTCCTTTTTTCTTATAGACAATTTCATTGCAATGAGAAATCTACCATGTTTGGGTGTAACTAGCGGTGGCGGTGGTGTCGGTAGTATTGACGGTTCAACGTCGGATATCGCAGCAGATAAACCTACTGCTGTTATGGATCCAACTACCTTGGAAGCACCTTCAACGCCTCACGCATCGTCTTATTTTGCCACCACCTACTACCACATTACTGATGATGAATGTATGTTATATGATATGATAGATTTTAATACATAAATATATATTGTTTATAAAAATTTATACATTTCTTATTAAGTATTTTCATACCAAATTTCCTTGATTTCATATTCAAAATCATATGTTGTGGTACATGGTGTTAATAAATAATATGTGAAATTGTTAGGTTGTTTTTCGCACTCTATGCGGTGCGATTTAAAATATTAATATAAAAATTTTCCCCGATTTTTTTTAAATTTATTTATGTTAACCCATGCCGCAACGGCTGTAAAATTTTCTAAACTATTAAAATGGCTGGAATGTGCAGTTAAATTTTGCAGCTTTTAGACTTATTACCTTTCAATATATTGTGATGAAAAACAGATCAGTCCGAAAAATGTATAATGTATATACCAAAATTTTACTCCAGGGTGCATTTTTAAGAGTTCTTAAAACAATTTAAATTGCGCGATTCAGAAACATTTGAAGAATTTCTTCTGATTTACCTATTAAAGAATGCGTTCATACACAAACACTTCAGCTTAAGCAGCAATCTTGGAAATAATAATAATATACATAGCATTTACTTCTACGAGTTTTGAGGAACATTATTGTGCTTCTTAAGTATATCTAAAAAGTTCTTTGGCAATAGCTCGTTGGAACATATTCTGGAATTCTGGAACTTAATTATTGGAATTAGCTTAATTTCTTTATATAGAAAAATATTTCATATGAAAGGAAATAATTTCTAATATTTGAAAAAAAAACTTGATTAAGAAATTTAAAAGTCAAATAGCTTAAAATACCTTCATTAAACCATTGACAAAGCCAACCATAAGTTGATTTTAAAAATTTTTTCTCAGATCTCAGGTTTTTTCGTTAATTTTTGGTTGATTGCGAAAACTAATTATGATTTTTTTAAGGAAATCTAAAATCTAAAATGTATAATTCTATCGTTTACAAATTTGGAAATAAAATCTCAGAAAAAATTTAAAAGATATTTTGGGAAAAAACTAATCTAGGCATTATTGGATTAATAGATTAATATTTGACAGTATTCCAATTGGCCAACACTATTTTTAGGCAATTTGGAAATGACACTCTGTCAACCAAATGATGGCCAAAATCATTTTATTTTCCTTTATCATAGTGTATGTGTATGTTAAATATAATGCTATATTAGGTATTTATCAATAATTACAATAATTTATCCAAAATTGCAATAAAAATAAGAAAATGTGCAATAGTGATGTTAATTTTGTCGCAAAATATTCGATATTTGGATACTTTCTTTAATAATAATTTAAAGTTATATGTTATATGTACAAGCTTTTTTAAAAAAGATAAACATAAAAATACTTAATTAAAGGAATATTGTGATTATTTTCAATATATATAAAGAACTGGAATTGGTTGTTAACAAAATTACTCGAAAATATTCAGAAGTTTTCACATGGGAACTAAATACGTAATTTTCTCATTTTGATAAGAAAACAAATCATTCATCAAACTTTAATTTCTTTCTTAAAATCTTTAAATTTGGTTCGTTTTTATTTTAACAAAACAAATGCATAAAAATGGTCATAATCTATATAATACCATATTTTATCATTAAATCGTAGAAAAGTTTTTATTGGGGTTAAAAAAGTTTTCGTTTATACGACATTATATCTTTCGTTGAACCGGGAAACTACTTTCTTTTACAAAACAATATTCATAAAAAATATTGGTGGTACTTTTAAATGGCTGTTTTTCGAATGTCGAATATATTCGACATTTAAATTTGACCTTCTATAACTCACTAGGAATAACTCAAAAAAAGTATTATTTCCCAGATTCTGCATACTAAACATATAACCTCTCTCCCAAAAAAACACTTTTTTGTCAACAAATTGTTATAATATTCCGGAATCAAGGTAAAAACAACTTATATACTCTATTATTTTGAACATGTATGTATGTATGTATGTATGTATGTATGTATGTATGTATGTATGTATGTATGTATGTATGTATGTATGTATGTATTATGTATGTATGTATGTATGTATGTATGTATGTATGTATGTATGTATGTATGTATGTATGTATGTATGTATGTATGTATGTATGTAGTATGTATGTATGTATGTATGTATGTATGTATGTATGTATGTATGTATGTATGTATGTATGTATGTATGTATGTATGTATGTATGTATGTATGTATGTATGTATGTATGTATGTATGTATGTATGTATGTATGTATGTATGTATGTATGTATGTATGTATGTATGTATGTATGTATGTAAGGGATGTAATGTTTAAAGAATTTAAAAAAGTCCTATTATTTACCCAATTTTACACTTTTCAGTCGATTTCCGGCACGGGTTATTGTTATCCGAATTGACTAAAATTTAACACCAGTAAGTTTAAGACACTAATAAACAAAATTAGACCCATCTGAACATAATCGATAATTTTTGGAACCTCTAATGTAGATACATACATATTATGTAAATAAATGTCAATTTAGGCAATACAAATTTTGTTGCGAATTGCTACAAACCTTTTATTTAAAAACAAACATTGCAAAAACAAAAATCGTTTAAATAATGTTTTTTATTTTTATATATTGTTGAGAAAATACGCATATTATCTTCTTTATATGAATGAATATAATATGTAGGTCCTTGTTATTAGACATGTTCAATTACATACATTTTGTAATATCGGGTAAAAGGTGAGATTCTATTTGGCACATACAAAAGTACTTGAAAGATTATCTATACGTATTTGTTCGATGCACAATTTTCCTCTTATTGAGTCATTTATAATCTGACTTTGACACAATAAAATTATTAAAAAAATACTAACAATAAGTATTTAACATGACATAAGTTATGCTCTTTTGTTTACTTAATCATAACAAGTAGAAAATTTTTGTTGTTTGCGAACATTTTTACCCTTTTGTATATCCCTACATGAGAATGTTATTTCTTTTTTTTTTTTTTTTTGTAATGACATGGAATGTCAATTTGACAGTTTAAAATTGTTGATCTTTAGTTTATGTTTCTTTTTATGTAGTAGTACACACTCAGATAGGCAGACAGACGGCAATACACAATGACTCCTCTGTTCAGAAAAAATCTCGAAAATAATAATGACATAACGTTATTACAAGATATAATATACAATAAAATCCTATCAAAGTGTGTCATACACGGTCATTATCTTTTTGAAATATCTAATATAGTGTTTCAGCGAGTGTTCGTGTGCATTTTTGTACTAGGGTTGCCAGTTGTGTATTTGATTCAATTTAAAGGGACAAATGTAATGTCTACTTACGCGCTCTATGAGCTGAGAATTTGGTTAAATAGGATATTTATAAAAATATTTTCTGTAAATATAAAATAAACAAGCACTATTAGAAATTTTAAAGCAATTCCGATTTTGTTAAAAATGTCTACAAAGCGCTGGTAAGTTTAAATGAATTCGTAATATCGCTGATGATTTGGGAAGGGGGACAATTCTGTGGAAGGGGCAACGTTTGGCAACACTAACACAAAACTCGTATAATTTATGATCACTTTAGTGTGAACAATCTAATAATATGGTACTTTTTGTTGTCTTTTTTGTTTTTCATGTTGTTGTCAATTTGTTTTGTTGTATATTTGCTATAGTTGTAAAGGAACAATTGTTGAAAAATAAGGGAATGTGAGTATGTTTATGAGCATAGGAAAGCAAGGACAACGAGGACTACACACATACATACATATGTATGTACATATATATGGACGTTTTGTATATAATTATTTGTTACCACTTTTCTAACGAAAATACGTACACAGCACCATAGTTGTCGGTATTTTATGTGTGTACGTGTGAATAAAACTAACTAGGAGTTTTTGTGTTAAACTGTTTCATTACTAAAACTTTAAGAGTTTGGGATGCGATTCGATGGGATGGGTTGTTGGATGAATGGCTATTATGTACTTTATTAACCGTGCTATCACTCTCATTGTTGAAATGTGTTTTGTTTTGTCACTGCGTTTGTGTTAAACTATGTTACGGATGGTTAGATTACAGTGTGTGTTAAATGAATAGCAACAGACAACAAATATATTAATTAATTCAACACATTTTCCAAAAGGAAAACTAATTCATTATAACTTTTAAATATTCCGGAAAAGTCTATTAGAAAATTTATCAGTTATTAAAAATTTCCATAACATGTATGTATGTGTCACATTTTTCCATTTTAAAAATATTGGTATGAAATGCTACTTCTGTTGTCTCCAGATTTATTCAAAATTTTTATGTAAATTTTTGATTAAATAGAATAATGTTTTCTCATTCTTATTGCGATTAACAAACTCTTCAAAAGAGCATATTCATGAAAATATCACCTGTCGACACAAAATATAGTATACATAGCTATGTATATTAGTGTGGCCCCGTTTCTATGGAGGAAAAATAAGGTGTTGATGTTCCCAACTAAAATTAAAGTTTAATTGATTATAAGATTGTGTTTCTCGTTTGGGGTCAATATTTGACAAGCTGGATCAAAGGATAAAAAGGTAATTTTTTGAGGTTTTTATGATTTTTTACATCTTTCTTCCAAAGGAAAGAAGAAATTTTGGTATCATAAAAAAGGTCCTTGAGAGACGCTTTCAATGGAATATCATAAATTTTAGCGTAACAGTAAAAGAAATCGAAATTTTCTGATTTTTCGTAAAATTTTCAGATTTTTTATATTTTAACATAGATGAATTTAATATAATTTGTTGAAATTAATACACAATAATCCTCAATAAAATCTACCGAAACGGTTTTATCAGTTTTCCAAAATTCAATCTAGATCAAACTTTATTTAAATTAATCGATTGCGAAATAATGTAAACAATAACCGTTATTTATATGATACTTAATTTGCGTATGGTTTATTTGCAGAAATGTGAGAAAATCATAAAAACCTTAAAAAAGGACCTTTATATCCTTTGATAAACAAACATTTTGAAAAGTGGTATCTTAGAATGAACT